TTTTTTCCCATCACCAGCGTCTTGTGGAAGCTGCTACTCCTTTGCTTCTATGGGTATGCTGGAAGCAAGGATACGTATACTGACCAACAATACGCAGACACCAATCCTGAGCCCTCAGGAGGTCGTGTCATGCAGCCAGTATGCTCAAGGTGAGTGCCGATTCCAAGCACTGCTTACCTGTGTGTGGTTAGGCATTGTTGGCAAAGGCAAGAGGATGGTGTAGTAGAGAGAGCACCCTGTCTGTGGTCAGAAAGCCCTGGTGTGAGTTCTGGCCCTATCACTTACTAATAGGTGGTTTCTTATGCAATTCGCTGTACCATCCCGCAAAATGTCAGTATTACCATATAATGGATGAGCACTGCCTTTTAGGGGACTCTTACATATATCACCCAACAATTCTCAAATCCTTGAAAGAGTAGATGTGATCCCTAATTCATACACAGGGAGCAGGCAGGAAGTTGTCCGGTAGTATTTTGAAGACCACTCAGCTTCTAACCCATAGAGTTTCAGTTCCCACTGAGATCTCCCTCCAAAACCTGATTCGTATTAAAACCAAACTGACACTGGTTTCTCTTTAGGGTAGTTTTAAAAATTTCGTGTGTACATTTTTAGAACAGGGCATTTGTAATGTATGCAGAAGCCTAGTTGCCATTGATTCAGGGAGAACATTCCCATTTTAATGCTTTATTTTGTCAAGGCCAGATTTGGCCAATAAAAAGTTGCTCAATCCACCAGTGAAACTGCTGGTGAGTGGTTATTTGTCAATGAGCCTTTTGTTCTTTCTGAAATACTTACCAAACACTGACACTGTGACCCTGAGGCTCTGGGGACTGTGATGTATCCAAACAGTCCTTCCATCCAAGTATAGAAGAGTCATGGTGCAGCATCTGGATATTTAATAATGACAATTATAATGAGCCTTTTTTTGCATTTATGTGAAGTGGCTAATTTAAATATAACAAGAAAGGTTGAGTTGCTATCTGTATTTTACAGATAAGTAAACAGAGGTACAGAGAAATTCTTCACGCAGTTTTGGATTTCAAGCTTCCCAGTTCACCACGATGCTCCAGCTCCCTTCAGGTGCTGAATAAATCTCTGTTAAGTAGACAGCGATGAGAGGATAGTGAGCTACATGGCTGCTGGTTGGATGACTAAAGTGACATTTAAGCCAGGAATAACTTTCAGGGTAACAAAAAAAATTAATGGAGTAGAAAAGAAAAACTAGGAAATGGGACATTTTCTCCTTGTGCCCCTTTCTAATAACAGGATAATAATTCTGTGTTATTCATCCTCAGGCTGTGAGGGCGGCTTCCCATACCTCATTGCAGGAAAGTACGCCCAAGATTTTGGGCTGGTGGAAGAGGCATGCTTCCCTTACACAGGCACCGATTCTCCGTGCATGCTGAAGAAGGACTGCTTTCGTTACTACACATCTGAGTACCACTACGTGGGCGGGTTCTATGGGGGCTGCAATGAAGCCCTGATGAAGCTGGAGCTGGTCCATAATGGGCCAATGGCCATTGCCTTTGAAGTCTATGACGACTTCCTACACTACTCTGAGGGGATCTACCACCACACTGGTCTGACAGACCCTTTCAATCCCTTTGAGCTGACCAATCACGCTGTTCTGCTGGTGGGCTATGGCACTGATCCAGCCACAGGGATGGATTACTGGATTGTTAAAAACAGCTGGGGCACTAACTGGGGTGAGGGCGGTTACTTCCGGATCCGCAGAGGAACTGATGAGTGTGCAGTTGAGAGCATAGCAGTGGCAGCCACACCAATTCCCAAATTGTAGGGTACGTCTCCCGGTATTTCATGCTGACTACCCTCAGTCATGAAAGGGGATGATTTATCCACCTTCTGCTGGAGACTTTTACCACAGCAATTTCAGAAGATTACAAATAAACTGCTATGAAGCTTTTTGCCTTCAAAATTAAAACTAGCCTCGATTTTCATGTATCTTCCCATTAACCACTGGCCTAATTTTTTCTAAGTACTCAGTTAAATGAAGTTTTTACAGATGAGCTACACAGTAATGGATTTTTACTGGTCATTTCTAATTCAAACATGCTATATATATTTTTAAAAATCTATATGAAAACCACAAGACAAGATGGCAATGAGTATTTTAAATTTTTTTTGTAAATGATAAGTGATATATGTTAGGGAATTTATATGTATGCATAAGGGAACTTCTGCCATTGGCTCCATCAGTGACATCCAGATTCACTGTGCCACTTATATAAGTACTTTATTTATTTATTTTCCCTACTGGACATGGGAGCTTTATTTTTAAACCTCACAGACACAGAAGACTGAGGGCTGGACCCAGGGCGGCTGAGCGGGGCTTGTGCGCTCAGGCTCACAGTCCTGCTCCAAGGGGTGGAGCTCCAGGCCAGCAGCTCCATGGCGCCACCCCATGGCGGGTGGACAGGCCGGCCCAGAACCTTTGACAGATGAGGCTTTACATTTCTGTGGGTGGTTCTGGAGCTTAAGTTGTAGTCGTCCAGAAATTAAAACCACTTGGATTTTTTAAGTACCTGGTGAGGTCATCAGGTAAACTAAAGGACTTCTGAAAAATCCCTATTCCTGATCCTTGCTAATAATATCTGTCATCAAGATTAAGTGTTAAGGTATAAAAATACTATATTTGTATATATATAAAATGGCAACAAAACTAAATCACATTTCTAAAGCAGGTGTACTGTGCCAGAGGACATGGCTTAGTTTTGTGTTAAGTGCATTTATAATCTTGGCATCACCTCCCACTCTTCTCCAGGAAAATATTTTAAATGACTTAAATAAAAGTCAGGGGATGATGACCTCTGTTTAGGATTTAAGAGGGTAGAACATTCCAGCACTTTACCAGCATGTGTAGTTGTGGTTTCGTGGGTGTCCTTCCCTGAAGCCAGCTCATGGTCAGTTCGTTTGGTTTCGAAAGGAGCTTGGATTTTGCAGAAGACAAAAAAGTTGTAAGAGTATTTGTATCAATTACAAAAAAAGAAGAAGAAAACACAAATGTCATACCTCCACTGGGAAAAAGCGTTCAGTGCCATCACAAGAGACAACACAGAAACCAAAGTGTGCAAATGGAAGGGGCAGGAAGTTCACCCAGAACATGGAAAAGCTTCAGATACAAGTTTAGTATATACAAAAACCGATCGGAAGAACTTGAGAAAGAGTCTTCGGTTTAAGTGAAGACCTCACGGAGACACGCAGGAGTCGCAGCCCTCGGGCTGAGTCACCCAACCCCTGCCCTGTTTCCCTGGTCCCCGACATCTCCAGAGGCAGCACTGAGGCTCATAGAGGGACCAGACCAAGAACGGGGCGGTCAGTTTAGGCCAAGTTTTCAATAATTAGTAGTCTATCCTCAAAGAAGGCGTCCTCCACATTTTCACTGAGGACCGAACTGCCAGTGTTGGGTGTTTCACCTGCCAGTGCACCAGTGAGGTGTCTTTGGTTGGCAGTGATGGGAGTAACCGCAACCTTGAGCCTCAAGGCTATTCAGAGGAATGACACAGGGAAAGTGCGGGGACAGCCTAGATCTTTTGGGGACAGCAGTTCAGGGAAGCAGCAGCCAGCTGGAGCACCTGCTAGTGCAGAGGCCTCCACAGCTGTACAAAGATCTTCCTTCACAGTGGAAGATGTGCATCGGAGGCTCCTCCGTGTGCTGGCTCTCCCTGATGCCCCCGTGTCCTGGGCTGCAACGTTTCCTGTGTTGCAAAGCTTCAAGACTTAGGCAGAGATGGTGCAAAAGGGAAGCTCCAGGTGAGCAGCTGAACCAGAACCGGGCAGGGGAGCCCAGAGCCTATATGGGCCATGGCTCTGGGCTCAGGGGAGGCCGTAGTCAGGGAAGGGGCACAGGCTTTCTGTCACTGGACTAACCTCACTTGAGGGCACTTTCAGAGCCGTCTTACAGCTGAGAAACATCAAGGCACACTGCTCTCCTTTCTCCCTGCCTTCCCTGGGCCCTTTTCAGGTTCAAACAATAAAAAAATAAAATAAAAAAAGCTTATTTGGGAATGTTTTTTGGCCTTCATTTTCTGCAAATTGGCCAAAACCCCTGCGTAGTGCCCACTCCCTGCAGAAGCACGGTGGATCAAAACTTAAAACATGATGGAAAGTCAGGGCTCAGGAGACTGCCCAGGTCCCTTCTGTGTCACCCATGGGACAGAATCAGGCAATGCAGGGTGACCCACTGAGCAAACCCAACATCTCATTTACAAAGTTTATACCTGTCTTGCAACTTTAACCCTTTCTGAAAACAATAAAGCAATCTACTAATCTCAAGTTAGAAAGTTTATCCTGTTAGTTCTGGCCTCATTCATATGCAAAAATAATTATTTTTCTTCAAGTACATCAGAGTAGAAGGGAAATCCTATTCACTCAGTCCAGTGTGTTGAACTATTATTACTGCAGGGACCGGCCACTCAGGGCCTGACTCCTGCGTAAGCCCCACCTTGGGGGCCCTGTGTCCAGGACTGTGGCTCCTGGAACAGTCTTTGCTAGTGACTAGTTCACTTGCTTTCTAGATGAGAAAGCTACTGGCTTAAATCAACAAGATGTTCCATTAGACACATTTCTATATTTATAACTTATCTAAAATGTTATCAATGGCGTCCCCTGTTTCTGAACAAGGCTGAAAAACAAAAGCACTCTTGGTGCATACAACAGATTTGTTGACTGCTTCTGGAAAATTCTGAAATGAACACTGTGACCTAACAGCTCATTTGCATGCAAAATAACCAATTTGTAATTTTGCAAATTAGGAAAACAGTAGACTAAAAAACCTTAACTCTAAACAACAGGGGTGAATCCTGCTCTCTTGAGGAGACCCTGCCCTGGTGGCCTGCAGCAATCTGGTTTGGTTTTACACGTGGAAGAGCACAGCCAAACTTGACCTTAAAGGCATAGGTTAGAGAAAGTATTAAACTAGATGGCTAAGTCATTGGTTGGTTAATTCTTTTTTCTCTAGAACTTGAGACATTAGAAATATTTCAGAAACAACCATGTACGTGAAGAGGACATAGACCGGATGCAGCCTTACCCATGGGAATAGCCAGGAGGGGCTGGCTAGCAAGGTTCAAGTTTAAGAAAATATTGTCCAGGATGCTCATATGTTTTCATTATATTATAGTTTCTTTCATGAAACAGTATCCAAAGAAAACAGGAAGTCTTCACTTCACTCCCAACCATTGTCTTTGATCATGTGAGCCAGCTTGATAATAAATTTTCTTTATTTCTATTTCTGACTGCTCTCAAATGCATATTCGTATTTCTACCCAAGTGCGGCTTTGCAGTTCTCACCGTAGATGTCTGCAGCAGTGTGCAGGCCAGTGGGGAGGATTCTCCTCTGCGGGGCCACAGCCCACGTTCACCACAGAATTGAAGAGGTAGGCCCGTCCCTGACTTCCCTGAAAGGACTCGGAGACCAGCTCGTCATGATTGGCCAGGTGGGCTTTGCAGTGGACACAGATGTACGTTCAGTGACAGTCTGGCAGATAAGCTTGGAAAGTTTTGGATTTTGTCATCCTCGCCATCTCTGCCGGGCACGTGTCGCTCAGGTTAGGGCTGGCACTGGAAGAACTTCCGCTCCGCCGGGCTCTTTGACAGAAGCAGCACTGGAACATGCACACGAGAGGCGTTGCTGTTCTGAGGGCATGTGTCACTGTCCACACAGCTGGGATGAGAGAAAAACATCACAATGGCTGCAGCCCAAGGTGCCCATCCAGCCTGGGCCTCAGCACAGGCCCAGTTCTTAAGCGGCTCAGGTGCAACCTGGGACACACTGGGAGGTATCCTCCCGCTTCCTTGTAAGTACTTTAAAGAGAAAAGCATTTGGGAGTATTTCAATTTAAAAAACCCCGCAATTTTATGATAGGGGATATGTTCAAATGGTGACTGCTAAAATCATCCCCTAGGTATTTGATGAGCCAAAAGTCACAGGGAAAAGAAACAGGAATTTTGATTAAAATCCTGATATTGGTTAAACTTTTTTATGGTCTATCTTGATTTTGGAAATATTGGTTAGCCTTCATGGAGTGAGCAGTAATCCCTTAATCAGCAGGATATTAGCCATTTGGATTTGGACATATCTTTGGGTCTCCAAGATATATTTCACAGTGGTATGAAAGCTCTATGCTGAGTAAACAGATGGCCTCTACAGATATGACAGAGTAGGCAGAATTAGGCAGTCGAGCTCTAAAACGTCAATAAGAACCATAAGTCTTTCGGACAAGACTGCAAGTAGAAATCAGGGAGTCTAACCTCTGCACGTACAAAGAGACTGAGGCTTAAAAAGAAGACAAGTGACTCATCTAAGGTCACACAGGTGCTAAGTAACAGGGTCATGAATAGCACCTTGACCTGTCTCCTTGAGCAACTGAGACACAATCTCAGCACTTCCCACCACAGCATCCAAAATCCCCAGGGATACTAGGTGCACCCTTGGAAGTTTCACCTCGGCATGTTAAGTCTCAGAGTTTTACCTTAACCTCATGTCCTTTCTGCAATGCAATTCACTACAATGACACTTCCATTCTCCTTGAACTGAAGTGGCATTCCAGGAGTTTGCCTTCCGTTGAAGGTGTGGCGCCTTGAGCCTCGGCACACTCACATACCTTTGACCTTTTCACTGCATGGTGACACAGAACTTCTGGAAGGCCTCAAAGGAGGTGCGTTTTCTTTGTCACTGCTACTGATTGAATGTAATTTTAGTCCTGCTTTATGCCTAGCCTTGTTGCTTTGTGAAATTGAGAAAAGAATTTGAAATCAAGCATAAATTTATTTTGTACTAAAATTTATAGAGACGCTACCGGTCTGCTTAACAGATAAGATTTTATTAACATTTTATCTGTTAAGCTCATCCCCTGATTTTCTATGGGAAAGCAGTTGGAGGACACGTGTGAGAGCATCCTCTCCTGAAGATGCAGAGGACTATCGTTTTGCACAATTTTCTGAGGCCCTGGCTGAGCTCAGCAGGAAAGCCATTCATTGCTGGTATCATATTGTAATGCTTTAGAAAATACTGAAAAACTGTATATAGGTGTGAACCTAACTGACATGGGAAGCAGCTCTCACAACGCCATTAGCTGAGGACACTCAGTGGCTTGAAAAAGCTCTACATCTTCAGAGGTTGTGGGAGGGATTGCCTGGAACGAGAGCTCCAGGCACAGCACCTCCACCTGCCCCAGTCTGCTGGGGAGTCTGCTTTTCTTGTCTGCACATGGCAGAAAGATCACATTTCATCCCTGGTGGAGGAATTAAAGACCGTGACTAAGTGAACATGCTTCCTCAAGCCGTGATTAAACTGTTAAGCTGTAGAAAAAGCAGCAAGTGTCATTCTAAAACTTGTTTATGTTGGTGTTACTAGACTGTATAATCAATGTCTGTAAACAGATTAAACTCTGGAACAACTGGGACAGCAACTCTGGCTAACCCCCTCCAGAAGAACTACAGTGAACATATGCATGGATGACACCATTAGCTGCAAAGAAAAACCAAGGTTAACGAGGCGACGATGACGAGAACAGCCATGGTCCCAATTTGGTGCTGTAGTGCCTGGGGAAGATTTCTGGCCCTGCCACTTGCTACCGTGAAACCTTGGGCAGTTTCCATAAACTACCTGTGCTTCATTTTCCTCATTTGTAAGTGGAGGTAATAGAACAGATAACTCTCACTAAAGTCTTCCTCCCTAAGTCCTTGCTGTTGCAACAAAGGAACCAAGTGGATCTGCACTTTTGGGTGCCATCGTTTGCTTTCTTTAAGGTCAGGTCTTCCACTATCCCAAGTGGGTGAAGTAAACTAAATTCAGATCATGAAGTTCCCTGTCTGTCCAAACTTGCTCAGGAAACTCTGACCTCTCACTGCTGAACTCTGGGGGTGAATTGGTTTGGATAGAAAGAAATACATATATTTGCTTCACAGTGTTCTCTGAGGAATAAATGCTTTCAGATATGCAAGGTGTGCAGAACACTGTTTGGAACATAACGAGTCTGCTTTTTCTGAACTCAATATGTAAAGTAATCTTTTGCTTTAGGGAGCAGTTTGACATATTCTATTAATAGGTAAGACCTACCCTGTTATGAAGAGGGTCATCCCTCTGCACCAAAAGATTTCAGGTTCAATTCCCGGTTGGGGCTTATACAGAAGGTAACTGATGTTTCTCTCTTATTGATACATTTTCTCTCTTTCTTACTCCATCCCCCTCTCTCTCCCTCCCCCCTTCCTCTGTCTCTAAAATTAATAAGTATCTTAGATGAGGATTAAAAATAATAAAAAATAAAAATAAAAGGAGAAAACCAACAGAGGAACTCTGATACAAAGAATCCCAGAGAAAATCCTTCAAAAACTATGAATTAAGGAGGTGGTTTGATTTTCTGGTGCAGAGGTTAGACGTCCCTCACCACACCGCGGCCCCTGCTGCCTGTGTGGAGAGAACATGTGTGAGGCAGTCCAGTTTAGAAGGCTACAGCAGAGCTGAAAAGTCTCTAACGGAGAGAGACAGCTCACTCGCTTTGAAGCAAAAAAAGACTAAGGTCGTAACAATTGGATTTTCCCACTCGGAATTTTCCTAGTAGGATAAGGTGAGCATAACAGATGGACCTGATGCACAGGCCAGCTCAGTCCACCTCTGTCATTAAAATAAAAATGGGTTTTGCAGGTGAGATAACATGCCTGGGCTTCCAGCTAATAAAGATAAATCTAGACCTCAGTGTGTCTGGAACTTTCTACTGTGCCCACTGCCTCTTAATTAAGAAAAATGGAGAAGGCTAAACAGGAGACAAATGACTTCACCTTGCTCCGTCAACATCATTTCTAAGGTCCTTTCCATTCTCACATTGTTTTCTGGCCTCGTAGGGGGAAAAATGTTCAAAGTCCCAATCCATGTGATTTGGAAGGTTGAACAGTGTTCTGCTAAAATAGTGATGTAGTATTTATATCTCTTAATTGCAGTAAAAGATTTATTTTTGGTTTAGAGTTAAATGGAAACTTCCTGACCAAGATGGGATAGCTTTAGATACATCAGATTCTCCTGCTCTGATGGGAAGTGTATGGATTTGAATTTGTGTATTGGTGGGGGGTCAGTCAGCCACTGGACCTCAGTTTCATTAGCTGTAAAATACTGACCCCATTGAACTGTAGTCCTGACTCCCACTGTAAATTTGCCTGCAATTGCCTGGGCTGTAAAATAATTGAAACCTCAGCAGACCTGGCCATGCCACACAAGGTTCTCAGAGTAATAATATACGGAAATTGCAGGAGATGAACTAGACAGAAAATGCAACACAAGCCTTTGTTGCTCTCCTCCTTTTTCCTTTCAGAAGTCCATTTACGGAGATCCATTTTCTTTAAGTGCTTCTTAAGTGTTAGCAAAAGTGAAAAATTTAACCTCTCCTGTTCTGGTCTTGAAGCTATGATGCTGATGTAATACTTCGATTTTGGACTTTCTGTTTTAAAAAGCAACTCGTTTTTTTGGAATCCAATTCTTTAGGCAGTTAAATGGGGAAAAAGAGTGATAAACTCCAAACTCTTGAGAGTTGAGGAAGGAAAAAGCTGACTTGTTCCTTCCTCTAATGCAAAAGTCTGAAGAGAGTGAGATCCTAGCAGTCAAGTGAAAAGAAGCAAGATGGATAAATAGCCTTCTTCTGAGGAAATGTGGGAAACGCCAGGGTGGTTGGGTTGTGCATTAAAGTAATCGTTGAGATAATTTATTGTTTTCCCTGTACTATATTTTCTTAAACTTCAAAAGTATTGAATAGTTTTAGTGCAGTGTAAGACACATGACAGAAGATGAATGCTGATAGTACCAGACTTTTGTACCCACATTCTTCTTTTTGTGGGGTCTCCTGAGAGCTAAGGAAAAAAAGCCCATTTTTCCCCTCAGATAGCTCTTCCTGTGCCATCATAAAAAGTGCACAGTATTCCCAGAAGACAGTCCAAGTTAGCAGGCTAAGATTCAGTTGCGTAACTGGATGAGTCTGTGAGAGAAGTAAACAACACAGCACTGTGCCGTCAAAATGTCATGGACTTTGGAATCCGTCCTGTTTCTGAGTCTCTGGTCCTCTGCAATGTTTGTCGTTGGGACCTGAGTCCAGTCACTGAACAGAGAGCTCTCGCCTCAGTGTCTTTGCCTGTGAAAAGGTGATGCCAGTACTCTCAGGGTTGTGACAAGATCTGAAAGAAGAAATGAGTGTTTATGTATTACCCTTCTTATTTTCTACAGAAAGTTTAAAGCAGTTTACAAAAGGTAAAGCATGCAGTACCAAATACATTCAAATAAGTGAACTGAAGTAAAGGAAGACCCAGGCAGAAAAGTAGGCTGTGACTGACCAAAGTCTGAACAGACTAGTGCAGCACCTTCCTGGTACATGGTGGAATTTTTCATAAAACAGTACTTCACAACCAGAGGTGACTTTGTCCCTTGGGACATTTGACAGTGTGTGCAGACATTTGAGTTGTCACACTAGGGAAGACTTACTCCGTAACAAAGAACTATCTGTCAGCGGTGCTGAGGATGAGAAAGCCTGACCAACAACACACTAACTCCCTCACGCTTTTACTTTTTATTTTCTGGCACTAAGTGAGTGTTACAGACTGAAAGAGGGAGAGAATTCTGAGGACTGGAGTTACCCCAGAAGCTTCCAGAATGTCTACAGAACTTGAGCTGAGCTGTGAAGGATCAGGAGGGGAAGTCAAAGACAAGGAGGCTGAGGGAGGGATGAAGGCTGAAGTCATCAGGGAAGATAAGGGCAAGTCCCCTTATTTCAGGATGACACATTGAGCCCTTTCTGAGTAGCTCCCAACCAATAGGAACTCACTAATATGCTTTTAAAAAGATATAAAACTTATTAAATACATAGCCATAATTAATCTTGAGAGCTGGACTCATTAGATGTTGGATGAATCATTTTAACAGAGGAGGAGGGGAGCAAATCAGGAGGTGGAATGATCATTGGGGATTCATGTGTGTGGAAAAATTCTGCCATACAAGACAGACACATCGTTTCAACTTGCCAAACATGTGATCGAGATAAGGATAAAAAGAAAGGTCAATTGCAGTATTTTTGCTTGTAAAAAGCATTTGTTTAAAGCATTTATCCTTTGCTCTTGTTAAAGTCACATAGACCAGGATTCTTTTGAGATTCATAAAAACTATGGATTCTTTCCCAGAAAAATGCATATGCTCATCTTAAAATCTGCACAAATTTTCAGCATTTCCTGGAGACTTACAAGCCCCAGCACAGTGAAGTATACTTTTGTGGGTGTGGCACCTTTTCTCCAGGCCAAGGAGCTAGTCCAAAGTGCAGATATTTTCACTGTGTTCTTTGAGCTACGAGCTGCAAGGAACCTTTGAAAAGTCTTGGCAGGTGGGATGCAGGGAGTCTGTTCCAGGTAGGTAACTCAGCTTCCAGTGAAAACCCCACTCCTGGCCAAACCCTGTCTGGAAGCAGCTCCCCATGTGTTCTCTGAGTCTTAGTGGCCCTCAGTTCCCAGCCCCCTGTCTTGGTTTCTCTGGGGTGGGGACCTAGTCTCACATAGGCCATCACCAGCTCTTTTACTCTGAGCAGTAAAACCTGGTCACTTCAGTCCTTTCTCCAATGGCAAGACTTTCTGCTGCCCACTGCCTGCCTTCAGGAGCAGTTCATTTTGTACAGCCCCTGGGTTCCCCAGAACTGTGCTCCCACCGTCCACAGGGGCAACACCTTTACTTCTCCCGCCCCTGGAACTTACCACTATCTCCTCCCCTTAACAGCCCACTGCAGCAGTCTCACTCAGTGGGTACCTCCCACTGCTGAACTATACTTCATTTTTGCAGCCAGTTAGTTCTGCTTTTATTGGTAATAATAATAGCTGCAATTTGTCAAGGTCTTACTTTGTGCAAGGTGATGTGGTGAGCCCTTAACATACAGTGTTTCCTTAGTTCCTCATAAAGATGTCTTACAGACAAGGAATCAGAGCAGTTGAGTAACTTGCCCCAAATCACAGAACTCATCCATTTACTTAGGGTTTGAACCCAGGGCAGGTCTCTGTTCTAGAACCACAGCTCTGAAGGACTCTGTACTTCTTCCCTCAAGATGCCTTCCTTTGCTTTCCTCAGTGGTGTGTTGAGTTTTCAGGGCCTGGTGCCTTTTGTTCTTCCTGTCTTTTTGTAACCCTCATACTTAGCATGATCACTGAGACATGATGGTCCCTTCATCATCTAAATCAGGATGAATGACAGAAGGGTGGGCTCAGAGAGGGAGGCAAAGTCAGGAGGGGGCGGTGAGAGAGGGATGATGACATCCCCTACTTTAAACGTGCCGCGTTTCAGCTGACTGCCACAACAGGAATGGCTTCTCCTTTCAACAGGCGTCTCACCAGAGATGTGATACGTTTCGTAGGAAGGATCTGTCAAACCTAATGTTTAGCAGATTTGCAACAATTGCTATAAGCTCATGTGGAATATAGTTTCTGGCAATGCACTGGGCTCTCCACGGGAGAGTGGATTGTTTTACCTGGTGCACAATGGCGAGGAAGGTATTAAGGATAGCAGCCTTCCTTCCAATATAAAAAAATATATAAATAGCCCTGGCCAGTGTTGCGCAGTTGGTTGGAACATCGTCACCCCATAGACTGGAGGGTCACGGGTTTGATCCCTGGTCAG